TTGTGCGTTTGTATAGCTGTTTGTGAGCTTTTTGTGTGTTCGTCGAGCCATTTGTGTGTTTGCTGAGCCGTTGTGCGTTTGTAAAGCTGTTTGTGAGCTTTTTGTGTGTTTGGGGTCAGTTTGTGTGTTTGTGGAACTGTTTGTGCGTTTGTAGAGCCGTTTGTGGATGTTTTTGTGTGTTTATAGGGCTTTTTGTGCTTTTGTGGAGCTGTTTGTGCATTTGTGGAACCATTTGTGGAGCTTTTAGTGCGTTTTTGGGGCCGTTTGTGAATCTTTGGAGCCGTTTGTGTGTTTGTGGGGCTGTTTGTACTTTTGTGGAACTGTTTGTGCGTTTGTAGAGCTGTTTGTGGAGCTTTTTGTGCGTTTTTGGGGCCGTTTGTGGGGTTAGGAGTTGTGAGTCAGCCTCCTCTGACGCCAGGAGCTGCTGATTCACGGCTGATTCAGGTCTGAGCAGCGTTCTGTAATGAAGCACGCAGGCTCACAGCCAACCGCTCCTCCTCCTCCTCCTCACGCAGAGGAAGAGGAGGAGCCCCCCCAATATGAGCAGAGGGAGAGACACAGACCAGAAAGAGAGATAAAAAGACCATAAAGAATGTTGAAAAGACCAAAAGGAAAGATGAACAGACCAAAATAGATAAAAAGACCAAAAAGAAAGATAAAAAGACCAAAAACAAAGATGAAAGACTAAAAAGAGAGATGAACAGACCAAAAATAGAGATAAAAAGACCAAAAAGAAAGATGAAAAGACTAAAAATAGAGATAAAAAGAGCAACAAATATCATTTTTCTTTGACATTGACATCATAAACTAACTTAGATTATTTATTTATATTAAATTTTTATATTCAGTTTTTGTTTAGGAATCGTAAGTAGAGGTTCTGCTGGTTAGCTTAGCTGTTAGCATCTTTGTTGGCATTTTTGTTTGGATATTTTCTACTTATTCACTCATTTTTAGTCCAGTTCTAATCTTTGTTGAGTCAGAAGGTTCCAGTTCTGCTGGGACTGGTTCTGGTTTATCTGCTGGTTCAGGTACTGGTTCTGGTTCAGGTTCTGGGTCAGGTTCTGGGTCGGGTTCTGGGTCAGGTTCTGGGTCAGGTTCAGTTTTTGGTTCAGGTTCTGGTTTAGGTTCTGATTTGTCTGCTGGTCCTGGTTCAGGTTCAGGCTCTGGCTCTGACTCTGGTCCTGGTCCTGGTTTTTGCCTTGGCCCTGGTCCTGGCCCTGGTCCTGGTCCTGGTCCTGGTCCTGGCTCTGGTCCTGGTCCTGGTCCTGGCACTTGCCTTGGTCCTGGTCCTGGTTCTGACCCGGTTCTGTATCTGTCTCCAGGTGAAGGTCTGGTTCCAGAACCGGCGGACGAAGCACAAGCGTCAGAAGCTGGAGGAGGAGTCTCCGGACGGCCAGAAGCGGAAGGCTAGCCAACACGTTAGCCGCTGGCGCGCCGCCACGCAGCCGCCCGCCGGCGCCAACGGCAACGGGGACGTGGACGTCATTAGCGACGACTAGGCCCGGATGGACTCTGGACCCGGCCCGGTTCTGTTCTGTTCCCAGCAGAGGTTCTTCTTTCTGGACTTAAAGCGGATGGACGGCGGCTTCGGCTTTAGCTTTTAGCTTTAGCCTTCGGCTTTAGCTTCTGGTTTAGGCTATAGCTTTAGCTTCAGACTTTAGCTTCAGCCTTTAGCTTTAGCCTTTAGCTTTAGCTTAGGATTTTAGCTTTAGTCTCTAGTTTCAGCCTTTAGCTTTAGCTTTTAGTTTCAGCCTTTAGCTAAAGCTTTAGCTTCTGCTTCAGCCTTTAGCTTTAGCCTCTAGCTTCAGCCTTTAGCTTTTAGTTTCAGCCTTAAGCTTTAGCCTTTAGCTTTAGCCTTTAGCTTTAGCCTCAAGCTTCAGCTTTAGCCTTGAGCTTAAGCTTCAGCTCCAGTCTTTAGCTTTAACTTGTAGTTTCAGCCTTTAGCTTTAGCCTTTAGCTTTAGCTTCAGTCTTTAGCTTCAGCCTTTAGCTTTAGCCGCTAGCTTCAGCTTTAGCTTTAGCCTCTAGCAGCCGGTTCGTCACGATGGGTCCAGCTTACAGAAACGGGACAATTTCCAGAGATGGACCATTACAGGAACTGGACCATTACAAGAACTGGACCATTACAAGAACGGGACTGTTCCAGAACTGGGCCGTTACTGGAACCGGACTCAACTGCTGTGATGGTCCTCCAGAAGAGACTGTAAATGTTTAAAAAAAGAAAAACTCTTCCTTTTCCTGGCTGGACGCTGCGTTCAGGGACCGCCGGAAAACAGAGCGTCCCACTCCTTTTCAGCTTGGACTGGATCTGGTTGTAGTTCAAAGTCCAGAAGGCTAAAATCCTGAAACACAGATTTATTTATTATCTTTTTATCCTTAATATAATATGGAAGTGAAATCTGAGCTGTGAGGGATGTAAACATTCTCTGACCTTCTTACTTTGTTTCTTTTTTAGAAGATAGACCTTTAAAACATTCGTTTAGTGAACTGTTGTCTGTAGCTGCTGGCTAACATCTGCAGAGGCTCCGCCCACCTGGACAGCTTCAGGAATCTGCCGGCTCTTCCTGTTTGGAAACAGGAGCTCCGTTAGCGGGACGGCATTAGCTAGACGCTGCTAGCTAGACGGCGTTAGCGGGATGCTGTTAGCGGGACGGCGTTAGCTGGACACTGTTAGCTGGACGCCGTTAGCTGGAGGCCAGGTGCCGTAAGCGATATGCCGTTAGCGGGATGCTGTTAGCGGGATGCTGTTAGCGGGATGCTGTTAGCGGGATGCTGTTAGCGGGGTGGCGTCAGTGGGACAGCGTTAGCCAGACAGCGTTAGCGGGACACTGGAAGCCGTAAGCGGGACGTCAGCTTCCATTAGCAGGACGCCAATAGCTGGACTGCGTTAGCAGGACGCTGTTTGCAGGACGCTGTTAGCCTGATGGCGTTAGCGGGATGCCAGGTTCCTTTAGCAGGACGCCTTTAGCTGGATGGCGTAAGCTCAATGCTGTTAGCTGGACGCCAGGTTCTGTTAGCGGGGTCACGCTAACGCCGTCACGCTAATGGCATCCCGCTAATGGAGTCCCGCTAACGGCGTCCCGCTAACGGCGTCCCACTAAATACATACCGTTAGCAGTATGGTATTAGAAGGACGGCGTTAGAAGGGCAGCGTTAGCTGGACGCCATTAGCTGGACGCCATTAGCGGGACGCAGTTAGACAGATGCTGTTAGCAGGACGGCGTTAGCGGGATGCTGTTAGCGGGACGCCATCTTGGGTGCAGCAGAATGACCACAGACAGGAACCAGACCATGTTTAGAGTTCGTCTGGAGACCAATATCAACGTTTCCCTGGCGTTGCGTTCAAAACCAAACAGAAAAATATGAATTTCCAGCTTCGAATGATTGAAAGAAGTCGGACTTCCTGGTTTGGAGCCCAGAATTTCCAGCTTTTAACCAGCAAATCCCGACTGGATCCACATGAAACAGAAGACCTCTGACCTCTTAGTCCCGGCCTCTAAAGCCACCTGAGGGGATTTCTTAATTGAATTGAATTGAATTGAATTGAATATACTTTATTTATTTATTGATCTCCAGGGAGAAATTGACTTCAGAGTCTTCAGATCAGACCCTGAAACATGGAGGCCACAGGGGAACCGGACCAGACTGGAACTGGACTAGACTAGACTCGACCGGACCAGATCGGAATGAACCAGACTGGACTAGACTGGACCGGATCACACTGGACCGGCTCAGACCGGACTAGATTAGACCAGATTGGACTGGACCAACTGGTTGGGTCTGGTTGGGTCCTGTTGGGTCTGGTTGGGTCCTGTTGGGTCCTATTGGGTCCTGTTGGGTCTGGTTGAGTCCTTTTGGGTCTGGTTGGGTCCTATTGGGTCCTGTTTGGTCCTGTTGGGTCCTGTAGGATCTGGTTGGGTCCTGTTGGGTCTGGTTGAGTCCTGTTGGGTCCTGTTGGGTCCTGTTGGGTCCGGTTGGGTCTGGT